TTTTTAACAGGAGCAGTTCCTTAAACTAAACCGTCACATACACTTTGCCATCCATTCTTTTACTCCCACATTTACATTATGCTTTTCACAGTATTTGAAAAATCCTAAATTAATGAGGAGATATTCTTTCAGGGCATAACTTGACCTGTTTTCTCTCCTTGATAAGCAATGATGCAAATGAAACGAAGCGAGGTTTATAACTCGGGATGAGTCTGTGGATTTAGTGGAAAAGTTTCATACAAAACAGTCAAGTTTAATGAACCACTGAAAGGGAAACAAACTGACAATATTTTAAAAAAAGAGGGCAAGAAAGAAAAATTAAAGCCAAAGTAATTAACTATGAATTCAGTATCACCATTTGTTTGGGATATTTATTCCAAAAATATGCCATGTATACCACAGAGCACGTTTCTGATCCAAGGAACTTGCACCCTAGACAGACTAGAAGGGGGAGGGAGACCGAGGAGAAAACTGGGACAAATACACAGTGAAGCTGAGGTGAAGAGACAGAGGGAAGAAATGGGCATGAATACCTGTAAGTGGTAGCACAGTGTACAAGTTAGCATTACTGGTTTTACTGAACGTCCAGACATCACTGCTTTGGCTGCATTACAGATGATTTGCCAACTGGTGTCTCATGGTGCCCTTCTTTTTCAGATTACCCCTCAAAGGGAAGAAGAAAAGTCATCACCTGGCTCCTACTATTACCATGGCAAAGGGCAGAAGTGATTTGGCATCTCTGACCTATATCATCATCATCATCATCATCATCATCATCTCTATAGGAACAGACAAGCAAAAACTCAAACCTTGACTTTCACAATTCAGGATGAGCCTGCAGATTTAGGAATGTGGGAAACCCTCATAAAAAACATGCAAAGAGAATGTGAGAAAGGTGCTCCCTCTTCACTGCCTACCTGCTGACTCCTTTCCTGGGCATTTGCTCTTGCTTTAGCTAATTTACTCAAATGCCCAAATCCATATGCGAAAAAACAGTAGCTCATTAAACAAAACAAAACCAATCCCAAAACAAAACACCATCCCGAACAAGAATATTTTGAGAACAGCAATAAAATGCAGGATATCATACCTTTAGGGCAATCTCCCAAGCAAAACTTCCAGGGATGTCAACTCATAATGCTGGTGTTTTGAACACACAACTAAACTCTAGCAACACAATCTTGTTCCAAAAGCCTTCCTCTTAAGTGACTCCAAAACTACCAGTGAGCATTTTTAAAATGCTCTTCCCAAAAAGCGCATAAACATATGCATATGTGGATACATAAAAGGCATCGCCACAATGTTCACACACCACCCTGCAGTCCTTCTCTATTCTTACCAATCCAATCCTTACACTCACCTTGCAATGAACCGAAATGCAGATTACAAAGCACCAATGGTTTTGCAGACTGGTATTACATCAAATCCTCCCAAAGGTTTAAATACATATTTGTAAAACCAAGCTATGTAGCAGTTAAGATGTGAAAGCCATGCAACTTCAGGTTAGCCTTTATACATACTACTTCTGATAATATTCTTTCTGGTGCTTTTATTCCATTTTCCCCAGCAGGATTTCTGCTTCATTCAGCAAACGGACAATTGCCCAGTTTTTGCCCTCATCCTATGACCCATTAAATGCTTACCATCTGCATCCTACACTGAATGCAAAAACCTTACATTTCCCCATAGACATCTTTATGCAGATCTCGCCATAACATGGGAAGACTACATAAAATAAATGTGAACTCTGCAATAACTTTATGAGATTGGTATTCCTATTCCTGTTCTAGAGGTGGGTGACTGGCACGCAATGATGAAAGCCCAACAGGTAAAATAAATGCCCACTGACTTTCATTGCCCAGTGCCTAGTTCTTCAGTCAGTACTTTTAGCAGAACTTTAACTGGAGCTGTGCTTTGAAAATACAACTTCAACTGCTATTTTGAATATCCAGCATGCCTGTAAATCAGGCCTGAAGTATCTCAAAATGCAAGCAAAATTGAAAGTCATCACTACGACGTGTTTTCATTACATTGTGTCCCCAGGTCACTAAAACTCTGTAGATTACTAGTGATTTGTATTCCAAATAAGGGAAGGAGCTCATACAGAAGAGTTTGTGATCACTGGCTGGGCTGCGTTACAGTCACATGGGTAATCTTCATCCGACACTTCTTCTGTCTTTTGAGCATCTGCTATCACAGGCTATATATTCACTTGGTAAACATTTTGAGCATCTGATTGCTTGCATTTTAAAAAGACATGGAAAACACAGCATTTCTACCACAAAGTCAAAGCTTACCCGTTTGCGATTACCTGTGGCTGCTTCAGTCCAAAGCACAGATTTCTACCACTTCATCTATCAGCAATGTGTACTCATTTCCACAGGGAAACAAGATTAACCCCTTGCCAATACTATAGAGGGTAGAAAGACAAACTGACTCTCTAGGCTCCCAAATTCCACCCCATTTACTTCCAATTTCAGCAGCAACACAATGCGTGCGTGCATGCACCTACACAGCATTTTAGTTCAGATCAGAGAGGTTTTCTGAAGCAAGCCTCCTGGTCATCCTCACTTCAGACACTTTAGCATGCATTGTACAGTGGTGCCCTAACACACAAACCTGATTTCTTTTAAGCTAAACTGAACCAGAAGATCTGCTCCAAAGGTAGGTGGATATTTAGCCCATGGACTCACCTAGGCAAAAGCAGTATTTACCAAAATTATTATAGCATCAGTGTTGGGTCCTCAATGCCAACCACTTCATTCCACAGAAACACTCCTCCTGTACTGTACTACTTGCCAAAGTAAACAAAGCCAAAATTTAACATTCGGCCTTTTCCTAATTACATCTCTCATCTTTACCCACAGTGACCAGCATAGAGCTGACATACAGCTCCACTGTGTCCACACACTGAGATACACGAAGAACTGAAGATACACAACTTGTCTTGAAATAGAGGGCAAAAGTTATCCGGTTTCCTAAAAGACAAACGGAACAGCCATTCAGATACCAAGCGAGCAGGAACAAGGACAGAGCTGGACATCATCATGAAAGATACCACGAAAACCAGGCACTTAACCAAGCAGTTATTTTGTTGGCAAATGTTATATACAATAACTTCAACATGCAGGAGTGGTATACTTGCGTACCTTCTAAAAAATTACATCAAGCTCTTATAACATTGTGAGTATGGGCAAAATACAACTTTTAAACACCTCATGACCTGGCCAGATGTGAGCAGAACACCCACAAAGAACAAAGACGACACATTCCCAAAACCAGCATGATTCGTTCCTCGAACCAAATTCTAATTGCCTCCCTGAAATCATAAAACCTGTTCCAATAAGCAGCTCCAGTTTTATAGAAGAAATAAAAAACCCCAATCAACTTAAAGCTGAGAATTCCTAGGGGAAAAAGGTTCTAATGCAGATGCATTGAATGGCAAATTTCACCCTCAATAGTTCTAATTTAGCACATGTATAAGAAAACAAACACAGATTTTTACCTCCCCAGGTACTGTTCATATCAACAGCTCAGCTTAGACAGTAACACCTCAAAGTCCCATACAGAGAACAACGTGTAATGGAAATTTATGTGCACTTAAGAATAAAAAAAAAAAACTTACAATGATAATGCGAATTATCAGCACTGGTTATTCAGCAATGATTAATGCAGGTGTGTGTTAAATATCACTTAGACATACTACACTATAACAAAACCTGCTGCATTTATTGTAGCTATTAAAAAATTAAATCCACTGTTTTGGTGCAAGACCAGTTGTACATCCAGTGCAGTTTACAGGCACGCTTTGCGCCAAATTAACAGTAAAACATGAACACGAATTCAGTTTCAATGTTTGGACTAGCTACATAAAATGCAAATCCATTATACTATTAACTGCATTAAACTATCTACATAAGGAACTTCCCATTTGCATGACCTGTGGAAGAATCAATAGAAAGTTTATAATAAAACTTTCCAAAATACATTTATTTTAGTCTTTTAAAAAATGTAAATGTAATTTATACCATACATTTGTAAAAACAAAGTTGATTTTTTTTTTTTTAAAAAAACATTTGAGAGATCAAGTCTTTACATAAAGCAAAAGAAAAGGAGGAAAAGGTCACTGACTGCTAAAGGATTTTAATCATCAATAGGGAGGTTTTGGCAAAAAAATTTTATTTGAACAGCTAGGAACCTCCAACTTACTGACACAGGCAGCATCTTTAATAAACCACTAAAGAATTTTTTTAAGTCCATGTTAAAAAAAAAATATAGAAAAGACTACTTTTCCCATGAAACTAATTTTTATATACTGCTGTGCAATTTTTATCCACTAATTCAGATTTTAGGCTAAGCTGCTTCTTCCTATCAGCTATATGTTAATATCCAAAGCCAAACCTTGCAGCCAACCCTCCAGAATCCTGCTACTTCCCAGCACAGAAGGCATTTACCTCATTCAGAAAAGCAGCAAGGGAATTTTACTGATATAGATAATTCCTAACTGGATGGCAAAAATTAATCACAGTGGCCTACAAAGCCTACAATTCACCAAGAAGTAGCAGTATTATTGCATAAAGTTTTGCTTACTAGCTCTAGCAAGGCACTGAGAGGCACTCAGAAATACAACAGGGGCAATAAATTACCTTACAAACAATGGTCTGGCAGGTGGAGCACCAAATTAAGATTTAGGAAAACAGCATTTTACTCTCTCTTCTGCCCACTCAAACTCTTTGGAAGTTACCTCCTCTTTGTGAGTCTATTTTCTTATTTTTAACAAATCTTCTCTGATCAGAAGAAAAAAAAGGTACTCAAACCTATTAACTGCAATGAATGCCTGTGGCCTCAATAACATGCTTTTGAGGAATGAAATCTGGTGTGGGTTTGGTTTGTCTAGTTGGTTTTGTGGGATTTTTTTTTGGTTTTGCGGGATTTTTTTTTTTGGTTTTGCTTTTTTAAGTTGTTCATAAAAAAAAAAAAAAAGAGGCATTTTATATCTTATTGCTGATGAAATAGGCTTTGGAAAAAGGTCACCAAAATAGAAGCAGAAGCACTGAAGCCCACCTGATGCACAGAGCCTAAACCAACAGTTTTAAGATGCAAGATGCTTCATAGGTAACAGTCAAGAACCTGTGGACACAATGATTCTGCACCCAGAGATTTAGGGAGGTTTTCCCCATTTTGCCACATCATGGTATGTTACCTCCATGGACTTCAGTTTTTCTGAGCTGCAAGATGCCAGCATTACTTGTCTTCCTGTCTACAGCTGTTTTTCGTCCACCACTCTACTGCAGAAACAAAAGTTATCACAAACACTTCCTGCATTGTCTGACAGGGCTAGCAAGCAAGGTACACCGAGCAGCATTCCTGTTCTCCCAGCTTACAGCCCTATCTTCAACAACCACAGAGAGAAAAGACATTTTAGAAAACTTTCTAGAATATGAGCTGCAAAAACACTTAGAAAAGAGCTCTTGCGAGAACTAGGAGATCAGGACAGAATAATGTATATTTCCTTTAAAAAGAAGCACTGACCTTAAAGCTGAGGCTTTGATTTTTTTCTAAATCTCTAGGGCTATTTTATTAGCAGTAACACTGTAAAAACACAAACCCCTCCAAGCGTCCTATTTGTTGACACATACTTGTCAGAAGTTGCCAAACCTTATCACAACTAATGAAGCCACAGTTATGCCTTGTTTCTCAAACATCAGTATTTTCTTGGTCTTGCTGCCAGTTAGGTTAAAACCATTTCCCTTTTCCACCAAAACAGTCAGCTGAGGGAATTAAAAACATCTACAGGTGTTCACAAAAAACCACTTGTAACACAGGAGAGATGGTGCTTCTCCACAGCAACAAGATAGCAGTACAGATGGATCTTCTGTCCAACTTCTAACCTTCCTCCAGTATAAAAGAAAATGAACAAACAGCTTGTACAATTATCCAATAATTGCCTACTGCCAAACAACTAAGAACAGAAGAGTAAGAATAACTTATTTGAAACCAACGATCGATTTTCCAACTATTTCCTGCAAATTGCTAAACAGATATTAAAACAAAAAAAAAAGAACAACTTCTACAGTAAAGCTGAAAAAAGCAATTCCATTACAAGAATCAAAATCTAAGCGTGTGGTAATTTTCTTCAACTTATTGCAAAATGTCAGAAACAGGAGTCCAGAGACACTGGCACAGGTATCTGATAAAGTTGAAGGACACTTGAGAGATTAATTCAGAGAATGTTTCTTCTCTAACTGACAGGAAAAAACAGGTATTCTTCTTTCAATTCAAAGTTCGTAACTCTTGTGGCAATGCTTTCAAATACACTTTTGGTTCAAATCATAACAAGGGTCTTCCATGATGAAAATTAACTAATTAACACTCCGGTCCTGAAGTCTCAATCTCACTTCATGGGTGAAATATGAAGAAACAGAGGATAAGCAGCAGTAGTTATTTTGGGGTAGTATCAGTATGGGAGACGTTTACATTAAGGTAGTGTGTTCTTTATAGCAAAGACCATGTCACTGCATCTTTATACAGTACCTGATGTGAATCATAGAATCATAGAATGTTTTGGGTTGGAAGGGACCCCTAGAGGTCATCTAGTCCAACCCCCCTGCAGTGAGCAGGGACACTCCGAACCAGATCAGGTTGCTCAGAGCCCTGTCCAACCTGGCCTTGAATGCCTCCAGGGATGGGGCCTCCACTGCCTCTCTGGGCAACCCCTTCCAGTGTTTCACCACCCTCATTGTAAAGAATTTCTTCCTTATATCCAGTCTAAACCTACCCTGGTTTAGTTTAAAACCATTAGCCCTTGTCCTGTCACTGCTGGCCCTACTAAAAAGATTTTCCCCATCTTTCCTATAGGCCCCCTTTAGGTACTGAAAGGCCGCAATCAGGTCTCCCCGCAGCCTTCTCTTCTCCAGGTTGAACAAGCCCAACTCTCTCAACCTGTCCTCATAGGAGAGGTGCTGCAGCCCTTGGATCATTTTTGTGGCCCTCCTCTGGACCCGCTCCAACACTTCCATGTCCTTCTTGTGCTGAGGGCTCCAGAGCTGGATGCAGGACTCTAGGTGAGGCCTCACCAGAGCAGAGGGGCAGAATCCCCTCCCTCGACCTGCTGGCCACGCTTCTCCCGATGCAGCCCAGAGTACAGTTGGCCTTCTGGGCTGCCAGCGCACATTGCCGGCTCATGTCCAGCTTTTCATCCACCAGCACCCCCAAGTCCCTCTCAGCAGGGCTGCTCTCCATCCTTTCTTCCCCCAGCCTGTACTGATACCGAGGGTTACCCCGACCCAGGTGCAGGACCTTGCACTTGGCCTTGTTGAACCTCATGAGGTGAAGGGACACTCATTTTCAGATGAGACTTCTGAGCACAGCCCCTGTAATAGAAGCCACTTCCTTGAAGTCCGTACTCTAGCCATTTGTGTTAGTCAACTTTAACAACACTGGCAAAAGCTTTTTAATATTTCATGAATATACTTCATCTGCATATGAATTTATTGGCAGCTGTAAAGACTTACTCATCAGATTCTGAATGCTTTCTTTCCAAGCTGATTTCAGTCTGAAACATCAAAGACAGTCATGACATACATTAACAATAGTATTTCTATTTCCAGTATTAACTCCCAATTTCTAGCTTGTAATTCTCAAGTGTTCTGGAGACAGCAAAGAGCATCATGAAGAACATGATGTAGGCACTAGTAATCTGGTTTGTGCAGTAAATGAGCATCAAATCCAATAAGCTTTTTCAAACAGGGCTTACTAAATCATTACTCAGAGTTACTCTAAGAAAAACTGTATGACTAAAGATGTAAAATGAAACATCAATGTACACATTTTATAGTGAAAACAACCAAAACTAATTCACTACGGGTAGGAAGATGTCAGCTCAAGGGTGTTCTCTCTGACTGGCTCTTCAGGATTCAGCATTATAAATACTCAGCTGTCACATGTAACAGCTATTTATTCACAGGAATAGCCAAAA